CTCCAGGCACTCAAAACCTACTGTCAAGCATGGTGGTGGCAGTATTATGCTCTGGGGCTGTTTGGTGCCAGTGGAACTGGTGCTTTACACAAAGAAAAAGAATTGAATAATGAACAAGGATGAAATGACCTCCACATTCCCTAGGAAAGCCTAAAATCATCAGCCAAAAGATTGGGTCTTGATGCAGTTGTGTGTTCCAAAAAACACACCAGAAGTGGTAAAGAAATGGCTAAATTAGGCTAGAACTAGGGTTTTTAAACTGGCCTCCCCAAAACCTCCTCAAGAACCTCTGGACTGTGATGAAAAACAAGTGTCAGAAAGCCAAAACATCAGATTAACTGCACCAATTCTGTCAAGAGGAGTGATCAAAAAAAAAAAAAATAAAGCTTGTGGACGGCTACCAAAAGGGCATAGTTGAGCTGACAATGGCCAAGAAACATTTGACCAAATATTAGCATTTCTGTATGTATATTTGTGAACCAGCAGATTTTGTCATATTTCCATAAGACCAACAATAAATCTATGAAAGAACCAAAATGCAGGATTTTTTTGTGTTTATTTTTTGTGACAAATATGCATGTGTTACAATGATTCCACAGACATTATGGGAGTTATTGGAAACTCAAGACTGCCATGATATACATGGTCTTTACAAGTGTATGTAAACTTTCGTTCACAACTGTAAATTTCCATCTTAGTATGGCTTGTTTCTGTTTGCTTCAGGTAATTTAGTGCTTTTATTTCTGATAAACTTCATTTGTGAATGGAATTAGAAACAGACTGCCTTTGATTAGATTTGAAATAATTTTTATTTGAGCATCCTTCAGAGCAGCCAAGACCAACACATAATTTCTTTCTATATAAAACTAACGTAAGCACAACAGATAAACCACCATTTCTCTCAGATACCTCATAAATAGAAATAAATTACAATCAGACTTCATATATCAGGCTGTTACACAAATAAACCTAGAACATCTTTGGCGTTACCTTGGTCGGTAAAGCTGCAGGCATAACTGGAGGTAGATCTACTGTAGGTCAACACTTGTTCTTCAAAGGTTAATACCGGTGTTATTTAAATTCATATTGATTTTAAGTGACAATTCTGCAGGTTGTCTGTCTGTTTTCAATCCCAGAAATAGAACTCAAGAATTTTAGGGTTGAGTGCTTGTTGCTGTATGAAGTGCAATTTTGTGTTTTTGCTGCAAAGTTGAACATGAAAGGGTACACTTATATACCAGATACCATTTTTCTTAGTAAATCTGTGAGAAATGTATGTTTTTGTAGGTGTGTATTATGATTCCCTGTCAATCACCTGGCCTGAAATGAAGTGTCCTTTAAACCAAGTTGTCTTGCGGTATCTGTCATGCATTTATTCATTTCATACTAAATGTGATTACACAGGACAGCGGGTCATTTCAAGCTTGGTGACAAAAATCAGATTTTTTGCTGCGATTGTTTAAAACAGAAATTGTTTGACAGAGCAAACGTGAAGCAGGCGGATGGAAAATAAAGCTAATGAACTTTTCCTCTCAATTAATGGTATTCTCCTTTAAATACACAAAGTACTAAAGCCTAAAGACAGTGCATCTTAAATAGGGCAGAATTTTTTTTTTTCTATTTTTCTTAAATGAATACCGGAGAAATTAAAATCTGACACATATAACAAGGTATTTTCTACCATGGCCTATTGCAGCTATAAAACTACATGCACCTCATTTCCCAGAGAGCACTGCTCTTTGAGATTAGTGTCAATGCGCTGCAGCTTGTTCTGTAGTCTCTCACCAACGCCACTTGCTCCTGTGTTTTCCAGAATACCTGGAAGCTCCCGAATCTGCTTCGGTGTTGCAGTGGCGGCCCAAGTGTTGATGCGATCACGAAGCTCTGAGAGGTTAAGTTCTGAGGTTCCTGGCTGTCTTTTGCCGTCCTCGGACGGGAGCCTGTGCACGACCCGACGCAAACGCTTGATGTTCATTTTATGGTGGACGAAGAACGGCGCAAGTATTTCTTTGAGGTACTCACCTCCGTCTGCAACACATAAAGAACATAATCAGTCAGCTGCTGATGAGCAAATGCAACAAAACACTCCATTTAGTCACTGCAGAAACTAAATAATCAAACATTCAATAGCTGCCCAGTAATGGTTTGGGTGCTTTCCATTTATAGGACTGTGATTGGGAAGTTTTGGAGGTCTGTGTAACAGGGAACTGCTCCAGATAGATGTCAGAGGGTCTTTAAAGACAGTCTTTTGACTCTCTGTTTTTGGAAGACAAATCAAAAATCCGGGTGTAGAAACTGGATGAGAGCCAAATGCTAATAGCCGTGTCGAATCAGACCACAGGACATCTTTCTTTTACACCTCTTGCAACTTAATCATAACTGTGCTCACATCTATGTCTGTAAATATTAGTTCATACTGCAAACGTACTGGCCGAGAATGCACCATGCATGATTTAAAAAAAAAAAAAAAAAGGCTTTGAAATCAAGTCCCAATCCTGCCGAGTTGCCTTCATTTAGCTTCTGAGCAGGGCACTTTACTCGACCTGCCTCGAGTCCACTGTGCTGTAATGTAAACGTGGAACATAAACTGCTCCTATTTCTGCCTTTTAAACATTACAAACAGACGATATTACCTTTGAGCTCGCTGCAGGTTGCACACACACTGTTGTGCCAGGTGGAGCCCTTCAGCAGCTCTGCGTCGCTGCACGTCTGGTGCTGCGTGCAGTTGAGGTGAGCCGAGGAAACGTCAGAGTAGGTGTTGTTGGAGCAAACGTGGCACACTGTGTTTGCGTTGGCTGTACCTGCAGGAGAACAAACACATTTTGTCCTGATTAATAATGACAACCACTTTTTGCTTTGGTGAAAGTCTTGCTCCAACACTAGTCACACCTCTATTTCCAGACATAGGTCAGAGATTTACATGCTGATCAAAGAGGGCCAGAATCTAACAGAACAGCCTCAGTTTCGTGTGCAATGCATCAAACTCTTCTGAACCCAAGTGAACTGACCCGCAGTTACGCTTTTGTTTCAATGGAAATGTTGCGGGTGCAGAAGTGGGCCTGCTAAGGAATAACATCCCACAGAGCTTTGCTCCAGTGAATGTAAATGTAGTTGGTCCTGTTTGCCTCTGTGTGGCAGTAAAACGATCTAAAACACACTCGTGCTCCTCTGAGCTGTGTTTCCAGTCAACTGCTTCAAGTCTTGTGTCACTACATTTAAAATCAACATACATCTATTTGACTTTAGGCCTTAAATATTATGGAAACCCAAAAGGGAAGTGAGGTCTTGTCAACATCTGCTGAAACTCAACATCTGTCTTTAGGTAGCTGTCAAACACAGTGACATAACCAGGCTGTCTCCATGGTTGCAGTCATGGCTATAGGTTTTGTTTGAACAATGGGGCTCAACACACGAAGTGGAGAATTTGTGAGTCCTACTTCAAGAAACTTTGAGCTTAAAATACTTCCTTTTCTGCCTTTGGATGTATCTTTATGCATAAATTAGTCCCTATTGTTTCATATATGGAGATTTCCAGAATAAAAGTCACCTTCCTCTTTGCACAAGGTGTGAGAAGTAAATATTCCCTGCCTCCCCTTGCACTCACTGGAGAGCAAAACTATATTGGTTCAGAATTCAAGATCAGCGCTGCATGTCACCTGTCGCTGTCCAATGACCTTTTCTCTCAGCGGGAAATTTGACGTGTCACTCATTCAAAACCAGCTGTGAGGCTGTGGTTCTACCTTTGCTCTCCACTCCTTGCCCGGCCGGACATTCGCTGTGGCGGACGCACATCTCATAGTCTTCCTTGAAGAAGTAGCCCGGTTTGCACTCACACTGGCAGTCGGTGTTTGCCGTGCACGCCGTCTTCTCGATCATGTTGTGGCCACAGACGCCACATCTGAGGCATTTACTGATGTGATTCCAGAGCTCGGTGAAGGAACCCGACGGACACGGAGCACACTGGCTCCTCTGCGTCGACGAGCAGCGTGCGCTTAGGTACGTCCCCGGCGGGCAGCGGTCACACGTGACCGGCTTACCGGTGATCGGATCCTGGTGATCGAAGGTCTTTGGCGGCGAGGCGACGCTAACAGACAGTGACAACAGCAGCCCCAGCACTGCTGAACGCATACAGGATGAAAGCATCTGAAAGCAAAGAAACAAAGTTACACAAGGAAAAAAAAAACTGTACAAGAAAGGCGCGCGTAAAATGGATGAACAACAAAACATGTTTAAAAAACGACTTTTCCAATTTTTGCAGTTGTTGTTGAAAATTCCCTTTAATTTAGGTGAATGCTCCATGATTCCTCTCCAAATAAGCATTAAAAAGCACCAGATTTGGATCCTGAGTGAGCAGAGTCAGGTCAGGCTCACTAAGAATTGTGCGATGAGATGCTGCCTGGACGGGTCTCCAGCTGCGCTCTTGTCTCCACCTACCATAGTGAATGTGATGATGTGCTGTTGCTGTGGCAGGTTTTCAGCTCTCTGTCAGGAGGGATGGTGCTCTCACTGTCTCCCCACCTCTATTTATTCTCGGAGGATTGTGGAAACGGTCCAAAACAGTAATGATGTAGTCAGATTCTGAGGATAATTAATGTCACCGGCATGATGGAGGGTTTTGTCACGCCGACCACTGACAGTAATGCTGTACGTATTCCCCTCATTCCACTACAGACAAGAGGGGAATTTCATTTAATCTGTGGCACAACAGAAGTCTCACATCAAGATTTTTCATTGTAATATTGTAATTATCATCAGCATCATCTATTATTATTATTACTATTATTATTATTATTAATAATAATAATAATAATAATAATGTTTATTGTGATTACTATTATGTAAATATTGTTATTACTAGTTATTGTTGTTTTCCTTGTACTTTCTTTCTATATTTTTGGATGCTGCTGTGGCGTGTAAATTTCCCCCAATGGGAATCAACAAAAAATATTCTATTCTATTCTATTCTATTCTTATTAGTAACTTGGTTCTCCTCCATCAGTAATCACTTCATCATCCAATGCTTTATTTTCTTTTGTAAAACATTCTCATGACACCTGGTGGAGAATTGCTATCAGTGCTTCTTAAAAAAACATTTCTTTGGTTTCAACTGTATTTCGGGTGAGTTCATATAAGATTACATAAAGTGTGACCCCTGGATTACAGAATCTATCAAGTTGGGTTAGATATGACTGGATAGAACTTTGCCCAGACAAGAACTCTGATTCCCTAAATGTCACTGTCACACCACCTGTGACTCACATCATAGTTAGTTGTAGTTTTAAACATGTGCTCAGATGAGTCAGCGGGATGGTTCAATAAATTGGTGGGGAAACATTGGGGAGATTTTCTTTACACGAGACATTCTAATTTTTTTTTTTTTTTTTATTTTTATTTTTTGTGGCTCAGGAAAGAAGAAAATTTTTATTTTTTGTGGCTCAGGAAAGAAGAAAAGCAATCCTTTAATGTGTGTCATCTGATAAAGTTCAACTGGAGTCAGGTGCTTTTTAGTGAGGATGTTGATTTAAGGTTCCTGAAGTTGTTTGAAGATGCTCATCTTCATTGCTGTTCAGTGATCTGGTCGTGTCATGCAAATAAGGAGATTCAGCTTTTCCTTTTTGTAGGAATCGTCTTTTAGTGAGTCTGTGGGTAGTTGTTTTTTTTTTCCCACGAATTGGACTGTTGATTTTGGGCCCACAAACCTCACATTATCTTTCAAAAAGAGCTCAAACTATAATTTAAGCTTCAGCTTATGACAGAATAGAGCACTTGAGAGAAGCACTCTGCTGTTCAGTGAGGATAAATATATATCTTAGGGTCCTTTCACATCATTCAGACTTTTGAACTCCGTCGTCTGATGCGAACCAAAATTACAGGTGTGAAACTTCCTTGAGATCAAAAAAATGAATGTTAGCATGACAAAAACCGGTGGTCTGGATCAAACGGAACCGTGCTTCAGTTTGTTTCCAGTGTGAAAGAACTTTCTTGGTGTTTCAGTTAGAGGAAATTACGGCACACTATCGTCACAACTGTGGAAACTAACGATTCACTGTCGGACAATGAGAGAGTGACCACATTTTTAAAATTAAAGTTTATTCCAGTGACGGTTGAAAACATCAACTGGAACACAGTCATAAACATGTGAACACTTTCCAGGTACTTTTCTGCGAGTGGGATTTTTGTTCAAATGTTCCAACATTTTAGGTTTTTACGCCTTGTGAGACAGACCGCTAAAGCACTAAATGTGTTCATGAACCACAGTCAGAGTGTAAATATTACTGACAAAAAGCAGCAAAAGGATATTCACATTCATATGAATAAATAAAGGAATGATATAGGTATTTCAGGATTACGAGGATCCCCACAGCTTTTTGATTTTATCTTTTCGTTAAATTTTGCTCAAGTTTTCTCTGATCCTATTTTCATCTCCCATCACCTTGTGTTCTCACCCTCCTTTAAGAAAAGGTAATGACGACTACTTAAGACCCCATGGGGGATGCCAAAGTTGATAATCCATCCATCCATTGTCTATACACCGCTTAGGAGTCTGTCCCAGCTGACTCAGGGTGAAGGCAGGGGACACCCTGGACAGGTCACCGGTCTATCACTGGGTGAATCCTCCTCGCTTCAGCTGTTATGGGTTTAAATCTCAAGGCTGCTCTTCTTTCTTACAGCATCATCTCATCCTTTCTCTTGTGGTCTTTTCACAACTAATTTGTTTGGTCCAGACTTTGGGACTCTTTGGTTCAATGTGAAACACAAGTACAGGCTCATCTGGCAAAAAGACGCAGTCTTGATCTGGATGAAACTGAACCGTGGCTTTGGTTTGAGTGTCTTGCGAAAACATTTTTTGGAGGTTCTGACTCTTGGACCAACTTCAAAAAAGGACAACAGACAATCATGAATACAGATAAAAGAAATATAAGCTGCAGTAGTACAGAAAGGAGAGAGGAAGGCAGAGCAACGCCACTTGAAGAATAAAAAGATTAGGCAGCAGCATATAGAGGTTCAAGACAGGATATCAGAAAGGACTCAATGACCTTTTTTATAAGTAATTTTTTTGGCCTTTTTACCTTTATTGGATAGGACAGTTGAAAGAGAGAGACAGGAAAGTGGGGGAGAAGAATGGGGAAGGACTTGCAGCAAAGGGCCATGAGTGGGACTTAAACCTATGAACCCTGTGCATGGGTCGCCAGCTCAACCAGATGAGCTAAAGCGGCGGCCCCAATAAATGACCTTTTAATTATGAACTGTCGTCAGCTCTGAGGGCTGCGTGTAGAATTATAACGTACTTGTGGATACCTGCAGTATGAAACCAAAACTAACT